GATAAGAGACAAAAAACAAAGCCCAAGGTCAGAACAGTCAGATAGGAACCAGTAAGTATTTTCTGAATTGCTACTTCCTACATTGAGAGACAATTTGCTTGGAGCTGAATACAGAATCCTTATCCTCAGAGTACTTACAATAGAGAGAGTGGGCCAGGCTTCAGGGTCAGGGGGCACAGCCAAGCCAACACATTCACTCACTCTCATACACTGAACTCTCACTCTGAGTGCTCACCAGCTGTGACTGCTGACTATTTCCAGGAACATTTACTGGAGGTCGCAATGCTGAATGCACTGGGGGCCTGAGAGCCCAGGGCCCCTTCTAGGCCCCTTTCCTGCTAGGATTCTGAGCAGGTGGGTTCAGAGGTGCAGCTCTACAGATATATCTATAGTTCCTCTGCTCCAGGGTCCTCCTGGCTTACCAGCCTTTTGCCTTGTAACTGCTGTCAATTTCCTGGTCTGGGATTTTGGCCCACATTGCTTGCAATCACCTCCAGACCCCCAACCTTCATGCCCCATAGCCCTGTGTCCATACCCCTGCCTTTATTCCCCAGGGAACCAGCCTCTGTCAATCTTCTGTCCAGCTTTTAGAGAAAGGTCTCATAGCCCCATTATTTAGTGGCTAGTAACACTGTCTTTTCCTTCATGGCCTGTCCTCCATTAGAGTTCCAGCAATCTAAGGATGAGTCTGTAGACTTGGAGGGGACAATGCAAGAGACTACCTTGACCTTCAAAAGGAGACCCAGTCTTCCCTCCTTCACCCGGGGGCTTCTTCCTCTGGTGCACCTGCCGTTCTTCAGAGCCCACATCGTGATCTGAAATTGCCTTGTGTGCTTAGTTGCATCTTTATTGTCTGTTCCCTCTCATGTTGCACTGGAATGAGGGAGATAGTGGGCTGTTTCTTATCATGTACCTCCAATGCACTGTCCGACACATAATAGGTGTTGAACAAATAAGTGTTTAATGAATCAATACTTCTTCCTCCTTGGTGATTTTTCTTTCAGGAATTTGGTTGTTTTATCCTACAGACCACCAGAGGGCTCTCCATGTCTGAAATCTAACGGTATGAAAAGCCTCTGCTCTTTCCCACATTGTAAATCAAGGAAAAGTGTCCAGGAATTTTAGTGTCCTGTAACATCCTGGCATTCCTAGAGCATTCCATGAACAGGCAGAAGGCTGCTGTGTCCGGGACATGCAGAGGACTCGGGGGACAGTGAGGACCATCAGCTCTGAGGACCATCAGTCTGATGGTTGATCTAGCAGACCCTGCCCAGACACTTCATTACATACAAAGAGGTAACTGGGCAAGCCATGGCTGATAAAGACTGAACAGAATGGAGCAGAAGGAGATAGAGTTTAAACTTCAGCCCGGATTCTTAACCAGGAATGGTCTCAGAACTACGAAGACCCAATTGCAGAGCAAGTGAATTGGATTCTCTGACTCTGAGACTAGAACATGCCTGTAAAATGCTTGCCAGGCAATTCAGATGCTCACCACAGGTGAAAAACCACTGGCTTCAAGAAATGCAAAGGAGGGAGAGATTGGTCTGCTAAGGCAAGTTTCACAAAAGAGAAGGGATTTGAATTGGACCTGGAAGGACGAATTAAATCTCAGTAGCAGAGAAAATAAATAGATGTTCAGAGTAGGGTAGCCGCAAGGGACAAAGCATGCCAGGGTGACCCAGAAAACAGTCTGTGTGCCTACAAGCAATCTGCCAGAGAGTAATGGTAACTGCATCTGCAGGGGTAGACGGGGACCTGAAAGTTTCTGGTTCAATTTGCATCCCCTGGGGAACCTTGAAGGATTTTGAAAGGAATACATAATAAAGATGCTTTTGTTTAAAAAGAGTTAATACTCCTTCCTTGTTCAGACTGAATTGTCAAGAAAACTGGCTTTGCAGACTCCCCTCTTTGCCATGGGAACTTAGGTCCCCATTAAAATGCACCAGCTTCTACTCTTGCATTTCGGCTTCCTAAGGAGGCTGTCCATGCCAAATCAAATATTAATTGATCTGAGTGTGGTCAAGTCAGGGGAAAAGCATTAAGAGGAAGTAATACTGAGGGGCGCCTAGGTGGCTCAGTCGGTTAAGCGTCCGACTTCAGCTCAGGTCATGATCTCATGGTTCATGGGTTCAAGCCAGCATCGGGCTCTGTGCTGACAGCCAGCCCAGAGCCTGGAGCCGGTTTCAGATTCTGTCTCCCTCTCTCTCTGACCCTCCCCTGCTCATGCTGTCTCTCTCTCTCTCAGAAATAAATTTTAAAAACATTAAAAAAAAAAAAAAAAGAGTAAGTAATACTGAGAGCACCTAGGCAACTCAGTTGGTTAAGCATCTGACTCTTGGTTTCTGCTGAGGGGATGATCTCACGGTTCATGGATTTGAGCCCCACATCAGGCTCTGTACTGACAGTGCCCAAGCAGAGCCTGCTTGGGATTCTCTCTCTCTCCCACACGTGCTGTCTCTGTCTCTCTCAAAATAAATAAACTTAAAAAAAAAAAAAAAAGGAAGTAGGAAGTAATACTGATGCCCTGTACTGTGCCTTCCAAGTTTCCTTCTAAACTGAGAAGTTTGCATTTGTAGAATGAATAATAACATCAATGGCATGAAGACAATGTTTTATTGAAAGACATCGATGTGCTTTTCAATTTGCATTTCCCAATATATGCTGTCTCCCAATTCTGCCAGAAGCATCCATTTGCCTCTGAGAAGGATCAGAATAATTACATCAAAAATGCACAAAAAGAAAGAGTGAAATATCTGGTTTGACTACAAAAATTGTATTTTTGAGTCCCTAGAAATCTGATAGTTTTGACAATTCTGTGAGTGTCTAAGCCAGGCTTGGCAAAATTGCTTCTCCAAGTGTGCTGTGGGTCAAAGGATAGAAAATATCCTATAGGCCATAAGATAACAGAATATCCCTTAGGCCACAAGATATCAGATGTGATGGAGGGGCACCTGGGTGGCTCAGTCAGTTAAGCATCTGACTCTTGACTCTTGGTTTCACTCAGGTCCTGATCTCACTGTTCATGAGTTCAAGTCCCACACTGGGCTCTGCGCTAACAGTACATGCAAAGGCTGCTTAGGATTCTCTCTCTCTGCATCTTTCCTGCTCACACTCTCTCCCTCCCAAAAATAAATAAACTTAAAAAAAAGTTGTGATGGAAGGGAAATCTGTAATATACAGAAGAGAGAAGAACGTTCTCCCCTTGAAGGAGACTGGAAAGAAAGAGATTAGAAACAGAGTAAAGGGGTTGATTGCCAGCATTCTCAATGTCTCCTCTCCACTCCCACATCCAGGTCCATAGAGATGGGGAACCTGATAATCCCCAAGCATGTCTTTAAGGAGCACCCCCAACACAGTAGGACTACAAATAGCAATGGTGGATAAAATGTCTACATAGTTAGCCTGAGAACACGTTACTGGTACCCCAGTGCCTATGCATGGTCTGCACAAGACTGAGAAGATTCCTTAGTAGAGAGATCCAGAAGTCATAAGAGAGCCTCTGTCAGCCAAAGGTCACTGTGAAGGAGCCGTGGGGTCTGTGGAGCACAATGATTTGTGAGGCATTTCCAGCATGATACCCAGAAAGTCAGAAAGGTCAATTACCTCCTCAGGTGCCCAGAGAATGGTCCAAAGCATCTACAACTAGAAGATATTGGGCCAATGCCCAGGGGCCCAAGTTCTCCTTCTTCACTTCCCCAAGGTCACATCAGTCTCTCATATAGCCAGATATCATCTAGAGGGCAGCAGCTAGTAAACAGGGGCTCCTCTGTCTTTCCCACCACCCCACCCCATCTCCAACACATGGGGACTGGTAAGGAGATGCAGGTGCCTTATATGAACTACAAAATCTGGATTTTCTTTATATGGTTCATAGCAGTGCATAGATTTACATATACATCACAATTCATTTTGCCTACTATAGGGTATTTTATGGACTGTTTTCCTAGTGGAAACTGAGTATTGGTCATCACACTTATATCTTATAACCAGGAAGTCTAAAGTCACGTTGACACATTGACACATTAACCAAATGGGTAACACATTTTCCAAAGGAATCCATCCTTGACCTCCAAATTATAAATACAGCTGTCTGCCACAAGGCGGCCCTCGAAGCAACAAAATGCAGACTTCAGACAGGCCCTGGCACTAAAAGGAGTGGATTTGAGTTGTTTTGTTTTCCCATTTATGAGCAATTAATTGAAGAGGAAAAAAAGAATTAAGCATTGTGCCAACAAACAGACTCTTGTCTTCGGTGTTCTTGTCCATCAAATAGAGCAGAAACTGCAAATCACGTGGGTGGCAACACAGCACACCTTAGCTGTTTCAGACCCCAAGGCACCTTGCGTGACTTCAGAGGATTTTTGCCAAGCTTTTAAACATGAAAAACAGTAGGGACAGTAAAGGAAAAGGCCCCAGAATTAGCAATTGTGCAAATAGAGGTAAAAAAAAAAAAAAAAAAGGAACAAACAAAAAAACCCCAAGCTTCAGCCAACTCAAAATTCCAGATTGCCAGATTTCTTGATTGTGGCTTTTAATCAAAACACAGCCAGCTGCCTGTATTTAACGTTAATTGTTAAGTTCCAAGTCTCAGCCAATCATCTTACTTCTCTGCTGGCAATGTAGCAAGAACAACAAAAATATGAAACTCTCTCCCTGACCCAGTTTAGTGAGGGGGGGAGGGGTGAAGAGGAAGAAGAATCAATTCTGGGATTTGGTCAGCTCTCCTATGAAGATCCTGTCTCTGGCTTTTTCAAAACAAAACAACATCTGTGACTTGAAACTGGGCCGGCACCTTCCAGATAAGCAGATAGTGTGTTTATTACCCTGGAACGCCCCTCCCTTGCCTCTTCCTCCCCAACAAAAAGCAGTGTTAGTGCTTCAAAGAGATGAGTATTTTGTTTGTGGTCAGCCAGAGGGGTGCCCTCCCCCCTCCCCCACCCCCCCACCAAAGAACCTTCTGAGTTTGTCCTCTGCTACCTTGTTTGCTGAGAACTCACTTGGTGCTGGTGGTTTCTCTCCCCTGGTTCCTTTGTGCGACTTGGACATAGTTTCTTTCTCCTCCTCGATTGCTCACAGCTCCAAACAGCCTTTTTTTCACTCAGGGGATGGATACCTTAGCTGCTTTCCCCATCTGGAATGCAAAGAATGTCGCTTCATTTGAGTGAATGGAGAGTTCTTGGTAAAAAGAAATAACCCCCCTCTCTCCCCGTCTCTCTCCTTCCATCTTTTCTCTCAGAAACCATAAATAACAGGCAAGATGGAGGTCTTCCTGACAGTATCTACAAACACAGCTGGTCTTTAATCACCCAAGCACAGACCTGGTAGCTGGAGTGTCTCCCTCCGGAGAGCACAGACAAACTCCCACAACCACTTTGATTTTGAGCCTGACCTTGAGATCTGGCACAAGGTTAGCCAGCAAGAATGCCATCAGGAATTGGTCACCTCTTATAGCAACAAGTTTCCCTCTCTCTGGTCATTTACATATATACGACAGCTAATATTCAAATTGGTGCAAGCAAGCCCATGGTTGATTAAATTAAATCTCTTCTCGAGCTTGATTTGCATAACTTGCAATAATCAGAATGGGAAGCGAGAACATAATTGAAAGGAGAAAATACATACTGCAGCTATTTGGAATTCGGCAGAGTCGAACTAAGCTGATAAGTTCTGATATTCGTGAGGGCAGAACTGGCCTAGGCTAACTTTAATTTTAAAATATTGAGGTGAGTGGGAGAGCACCTTTAATTAACAACAAGAAAAAAAATTATATTTAAATCCAAGCTAGTTAACATACAGTGTAATAATGATTTCTGGAATAGAATTTAGTGATTCATCACTTACACATAACATCTGGCGCTCCTCCCAACAAGTGCTGTCCTTAATGCCCATCACCCATTTAACCCATCCCCCACCCACCGCCCCTCCAGCAGCCCTCAGTTAACAAGAAACTTTTTAAGAGAGACAATGTGGAGCTGGTGGTCCAAAAGGTTTGCTCACATTTTATGGGCCTGTGGGAAGTGGTCTCTGCACACCCGGTTCTGCCCTACCCCTGGGAAGTAAAGTAATTCGGCCAGTATTTATTTTAAGGCAAAGATTTACTCCAAGATCCTTCCATTGGGTCTACCCAAACTCCTGTTTTATTCCTTTATGGCTTATGTATGACACCCCCACTCCCGCCCCCTGCCCACATTACCTTTATGTAAGAACAAAACCTGAAAGAAAAAGCCCACCATGCTTTGCGAGGATGGACGCCCCACCGGCAAGCAATGCATTTGAGGGATCCGGCACACTCCCTCCTCAATTTGCTTAATTCCACCTTTCCTCGCTGTTCCTGTCACCTAGGGTCTGAGAGAAGAAAGGAAAAAAGCAAATGGGCACAGCAACAATGACTTGCATCCACTGCATATACCCCCCACCCTCATTTTCTCCCATCCACTTCTCAAGCTCATGGGCAGCAGCAGACCTGGCCAGGAACCCCAAATGAAGTAAAAGCAGGGGACTTTGCAGATGGGGACAGCCTGAAAGACGGAGTCCCCTCACAGAAGCGCTTTATACCGGCTTTCGACAACATTACAAAATGTTTGCCCTTGACAAATGTGCATGGTTGATGCATAGGGAGTCTCCTTCACAAGTTGTCATGGGGCTTCATTCTCCAACCAACTTGTGCTGGTCACCTTCTCATTGACCAGACATATTCTTTTGTCACAGAATTTCCATAAGAATCCATACAGTACATTTTTTAGGATAAATGCTCAGAATTGTTGTTGAAATCGATGTTCACAGACATCAACCAAAAATCAAAGTACAGATGTTTGAACGTGAGCACAGACTAGGATTTTATAACAGAGTGGATTAGAGCTTGCTTTCACTGCTTCCCAATAAGCCAGCTACTGTGATCACTGATTCAGTAGTCAGCCCATTTAAAGAGACATGTGTGAATGTTTTCCCCACTCCACAGATGAAAACACTGAGGTTGAGTAAGGCAAAGCAACTTGCCCAAGACAGGCTACTAAAGAGAGGGAAGCCAATTTCAATGCAAGCCTATGCAGTGTAGTTACAAAATACCCTCCTCTTAATGGCCATATCATGCTGCCTTTTTGAAGAGCATGATTAATTATTCCGGGTATTTAGAATTCAATTTTACTTCAATAGCCAAGGTGGAGAAAATAGTTCAGAAATAATTGTTTATTCCTCAACATTTGCTGTACCTTCCAAGCCTCGCTGTTTCATCTCCATTCAACTTCCAGAGCTGTAGTCAGTATAAGATGATCTTATTTCAAGGAAACTTCTAGAAAGTTCTGTTCTTCCCTCAGCTGAAAATTTCAAGAGATGTGAAGGGGAAACTCTGAGCATCCTGGAATAAACCAAGCAGCTGAAACAGAGAACCAGGAGACCCCTCTAATTAGCAAGTGTGAAGTGGGTATAGCCGGCCCCAGGGCTACTGGAGGAGAAGGCTGAGTCCTATTTGTCAGCTCTTTGAGCAGGGACTCCTTAGGGTTAGTGCAGATGGCAGCATTGCAGGACACCTGTGAAACAGCCACTTCCACCTCAAGAGCTGACAGGGACTTGGGAGCAGCCATATTCATGTAGGGGAAGAAACCCAGACAATTCCTGGAGACCAGCTGTCACAGACCGTTTTTCCTGAGAACTTCACAGGCATTTCCCAGACTCTCTTGCAGCTCAGTTGAGCATCTTATAACCAAGTTCTACCCAATTGTGGGCCTGTCCCTTAGGGACATCCTTTCAGCTATTTCCTCCCGCATCTCAGCATTTTTGGGACCACATGCCCCAGATGATGTAGCTAAAAAAGGAGAAAGCTGCCTTACCCAAAGGAGAATGTGTGTGAACAACAAGTAGTGACATATTATGCTAAGCCACTGGAATTTCAGGATCCATTTGTTACAGGACCACCATCTAATCTACCCTGACGATATACTATATTCACTCCTGACCAGTGGAAGGCTAAGTGATTACCTGGAAGGCTATTGAAAATAGATTCCTAGGATCAACTCCCTGAGATTCTGGCAGATTCCATAGGGCATGGGGATGAAGGAATGGAGAGAGGGACTGTGTATAGGGCAGGCAACCCAGGGCACAGTTTGGCTAGGATAAGAGGGAATAAAAAATGTCAAGAAAAATAAAGAAGCTGCAGGATTTTTGTGACAGTTTGGATGAGGCATTGCTTTAAAAAAGAGAGAGAGAAAGAAAAGTCAAATCAAGGCTTCTATCTTGAGAGACTGAAAAACTAATGGGAGATGAGATTCTAAAAGGGTTCATTTTGGAGAAAAAGATGAGATTGATTTCAAGAGGCTGGAATTCCAAGAGAGGTCTGTCTGTATGGTTGGAATCGCAGACCAGGCATAGAGATGCAGGTGGGGGGCTGGGATGGGACTCCTCCAGATGTTTCTGATCATACACCCACCCCTGCCCCTCCCACACTGAGGAGTGAGGACATAGAAAAGGGGTAGAAGGCAAAGGCCTGGGCACAAGGGATGCTCACAGGACTCTGAGAAGGTGGAAAGAAGAGCAGACATGATATTTGGAAAGTAACCAGGCCTCATTTGGAAAGTAACCAGGCCACCCAGAAAGTGGGGGTGAGGGGTGGGGGTTGCAGAGGACATAGCTGGCCCCCTGCAGTCCACTTTGGGCACAGTTGAGGCCCTCCAGGCACCTCACCACCACCACCTATGGTCTTCAGCTACTTTTTCCCTCCCCCTTACCCATGTCTTGGTCCAGTTCCCTGCCTTTTCTTTTCTGCTGACCTTATCAGTGCCTTTCTTACCACTGTCCTTGCCTGCACACAGTCTCCTGATCACAGTGTCTTCTCCCTGCCCCCCTCCACTTCAAAAAAACCCAGAACAAGTCTGCCTGCCTTCCTTGTATTCTTGGTGGCACTCAATGGAGTAGGTTTCCTCCTTTGTCCCTTCTTGCTTCCACACCCCATTGCTGGTCCATTGGCTCCCAGGAAGCCTTCCCTGTCACCATCACCTTCATCCACTGAAGGTCTTAGTGCAACTGGGGACTGGCCTTGTCTTGGCCCCCAAGGTGACTGTGGAGCATAATGGAGACCTCATCCAGTGCTCCCCTAGAAGCCGGTGGTCTAGGGTGTGGACCTGTGGACAACTGTCAGGGAAGTAAGTCTCATGGTCAGTTTCTCAAGCTGTGTTAGGTAACACGAGAGGCATGGATCCCACCGGAATTTTTCTTCGAGCCACATTCAGATGGGGGAGACTCGATGCCTGAGCTGGTTTCAACTTGTGCAGATATGCCAGTTCCCCTCTCATGAACATGAGACACTGGCAGGTGCTTCTGGTGGGCTCTGGTTGCTGCTGATACTCATCATGTTCCTCATTGCTCTCCATTCTAGATTGCCCTCATGCTCAGATAACACGCCTGCCCATTTTGGTGGATTACCTGGAGGGGTGTCCTGTCTGAGCCTTGGCTCACCAACCCCTCTCAGGCCTGGGTTGTTGCTATTGTCCATTTGCTGTCAAATTTGAGCTAAGGAGTATCACTTGGGACCTGGGACTGGCTGGCCTCCACCGTGTCACTGTGTGACAGCAGCACTGCCTCCTGACGGTGATGGCTGGTCCCCTCTGCCAAGATGCTAAGCCTCCTCCCCCCCGCACCCACTGGTCTTGAACACAGGACCTCACAGTGCTCAGGCAGCAGCTGAAGCTTGCAGTTCGATGACAATCTTCTTGCTGTGTCCCCTGTCAGAAGTCTTCCCTGTGGGACAATCACATCTCTAACCCAGTAGCAGGATGGGAAATACTTTCCCAGTTAGTCACTAGGCATGATGGAAATCAGGAGCGTGCTGCTTCTCCTCTCTGGGTTTGTGGACTCTTGTATGCTTATGGAGACACAGAATTGTATAAGGTTTTTGGTTCAAAGTGTGGACGGCAGCCAGAGACGACACTCTGTCCTCACAAAGTATTGCCTGGAAGCAGGCTCCTCCAAATCTTGACCATACCAGCTGATGAGTTTTTTTTCTGGTGACAATGGGGTTCATGGGGTCCAGAGTTGACAATCAAGAAAGAATTCTTGAAGACGTCTTTGGTGCAAAAAGATG